AGGTGTTTGGTGATATCGTGTTCAGCTTTACACGGAGTGTGACAGAGCACTACAACCCAGAAGAACCTGAGTTCACGGCAGAGTCTTTTGGCTACGATCCTGTACAAAGCACAGGTCGAGAATGGTATTATCTTCCTGTTGACGAGCTTATTTATCAAGAATACAGCGACAAAGACATCACAAGCTTCGCCTACCTGGCATCTAGCAGCCTTGATGTACAAGTTATAAATGCGTGTTTACCAGAGGAAAGCACGGAAGAAGGTAACCAGGAAAATAAGCAAGAAGAAGACAAAGAAATGGCTTGGAAGCGACTTAGACCACCCGTTCTACAGACAGTTGTGAAATCAATGTACATTGGAGGTTTAATTTCACTTCTCGCCGCCTCCGTCGTGGGTACAATATATACATTGTTCTCTTATCTTAACTATAAGACGGCGTGGAACTGCGAATTTAAAAAAGTCGAATTAATTTCAGCGCGGATACAATGGACGAAAACAATTGCAGATATAATCGGTTGCGTCCTCTATTACGCCTGCCCAGTTTTAAACTTGTTATTTCTCTTTCGGCCACATCAGCTGAAAGGGATCAAAACTAAACTGATTCTCGTTTCTTTTGTGATGTACATTTTGGATGCACTTTTTTGCGCAGTTCTACAAGCATTTGGAAAACCTATCTTTACCCTTCCTGCTTTATACAGAGCCTTGTCTAATGTTCCAGTGTTTATTTTCGTTTTCGCTACTGTTTGTGTGCAGTTCTATTTTGTCGCAAGACACTTGTTTGTACGACTGAAACCAAATTTAGCGTGTCTTATTTGTAAAATGGCAATTTCACCTTCTTGCGCTGTCATCGCGGCCTTTGTCATCAGGTATGCTATTTACACAGCGTACAACAAGCAAGACACGGAAGGCAAACTTGTAATCGCCCTCTTTTCCCCTCTCATGGGTGTGGCTGTCAAAACAATTTCACGAATCTGTGTGCAGCGGTTGTGGAACATTACCCATCCGGGGTATTCGTATGTTTTATTAGCACCGTTGTATTGCTTATTGTCTGTCATGTTTCGAGTTTTGCAAGCGGACCTTGACAGCCTGGAATCTATTGCTGTTCTTGGAATAATTCACGGCTTTGCCGAAGTCGTAGAACGCAGCACCGTGGTTGTTATTGATCATCTCTGCCACCAAATTTGCAGACGAGAATCACTTCCATGGGGAAGTTTTCGCACACCTCGCCGTGAAAGACTAATGGCTGATATCATTATCATGAGCATGTTGTTCGAATCAACTGCTATAGTGTCTGTTAACGGCTTGTTATACTTGTATCAGAGAGGAATGATTCATTTCTAGAGTTGATGCAGTCTTTTGCAATCCACACTTCGGTTCCGTTGGTGATTGAGTGGTTTTTCAACAGCTTATCTCTTGCGGTCGAGACTCGGTATCAGAATATGGCTGTAATGGCTGTATGGCGAAAACAGTGGAAAAGACACATTTTAGTGGCGATTGTAAACGTGTTGCCAGTTGCTCTATGGACCAGCGGAAATCTTTTAGTGATTGTGCATGGACGGTTTGACGAGCCCTTAAATCAGTCTTGTAAAATGCCATTTATGTAGAGGGTCTGGATACTGAGAGAAGTTTTGCTTTGATACACTACCATTACGAAAATCGTGTTAATAAAGTTCAAATCAAGCGGTAGAGTCGTCCTTAAATTGTAAAAAAGGAATTATGAATAAAGCTATTAATCGCCCAACCTTGTTCCCAGGTTCTGTCTCTTCTGCCTCCCTTGGTCGTTTTAATCACCTAAGTTAAAGATTGAGGTCACTTCAAGCTCGCGTGAATTGGTTGAAATTTTGGGCTTGTCCTCTTTTACGCCAACCTCCGAGTATAAAGTGCGATGTTGTTGATTCTTTCATGTCAGTGTTGAATGAAAGAATTACCTTGCCAACATAATCTTGGATTATTAAAGACATCTTTCATAGAATTCGTTTTCTTCCATGAGAATTTTTAACCTTACGGATAGAAGCACTGAACGTTTCTCACAAATCGATGCTGCCAACGAATTGGTGATATCTTATTTCCCTTACCCCGATAAACGAAGGCACGAATTCCTCACTGAGGAATCTTTTTTTTCCCCACAAAGTTTACTTCCTGTACAATCTGAACTCCTTTTGTAAACCGGTGAAAGATTTGTTTCGGGTCTGGAACGCTGGTATCAGTTTTCTCATGATCCAGTTGTCAATAAATTAGATATCGATTTTTATTGATTGATCGGTCTATTGAGTGTATTTTGTCAACCTTCTTCCCAGGGCCTGGGAACGAGGTTGGTATTTTAATACTTTTTTTCATAATATCTATGATTTACCATACGTTGATAAAATACTGACGATTTTTTGAACGGTCTTGGAAAGTTAAATTAGAATGCATTTGATAAGTGCGGAGCATCTCCTTGAAATGGGGTCAGTGGGTGATATCGTACGCCACATTTTGATCTGTGACAGATAAAGAGGCTAAAAAATGTTATCGGATTAACAACTTGCTATGTAGTTACCATCAATTTCGCTGACAAGCGTGCAAATTCTTGGAATAGAGGTGGAGCTTTTAAAAAGATGTTTGTATGCTTGTTTTGCTCACAATCGTATGGCATTATTTTGTGAACAAATTTGTTGTAAAAGTTGGAGAAATGCCATAAAGTTTGGAAAGTAAACGAACGTTGTTTACTTCCAAGTTTTTTCCTAACACTACTTTCGAAGAGTCATGTTTTGCAAATACGTATCGACATGGGCCGACCATCTTAATTAAACAACAACCTCAGGTATCTTTGAATTTTCCGTGTGGTTTTGCTTTTCTGGTTTAAAAGTTTTTTCCGGAAGAAAGTCGTCATAAATACTGAAAATTGCGTTGCACGGTACGAAAGTTCTATTACACTAAAATGTTTAGAAAATTGAAGTTAGATCAATGATTGTGGCTCCTCACGAAAGGCATAATCTGATCTGGCAATTAATGTTGCAAAGTCGACAAGTTGTCTTGGAATTCAGCCTAATCTGTGAATCTTGCAGGCCGAGGCGTTTTCATGTTGACCGACATGATAAGCTAACATTCGCCTCCAGTGAACAAGTTTGCCACAACTTAGTATGGTCGGGGAAAAAACATTCTTCAAGATTGGGTAAAAGTCAGGGAAATTTTGCTTTTATTAGGTAAAAGTCAGAGAATTTTGAAAAGTGATGTTTGTGGCAACCATGGTGAAA